CAAATAAGGCCACGTACTAACACAAAAAATTCAAATAAGGCCTTATTTATGAGGTTCTGTCCGGCCTTCGCCATTTGGATTGGTTCTCGCTGGAACTTTTTGATGAAATTTTTTGAGCATCTTATTCAGTAAGTCTAGTTTACTCATACCAAATTTAAGATAAAACTTCAATCGGGAAGCCATTCAAATGAATTTTTGAAGATAATTGCGCAGTTAAAAGCGCAGTTATCTTCAAGAATTCATTTGAATGCCTTCTAGATTAAATTTTTATCTGAAATTCGGTATGAGTAAACTAGACTTAATGAATAAGATGGTCAAAAAAATTCATCTAAAAATTCCACCGAAAACCACCCCAAATGGCGATGGCCGGACAGAGCCTCATAAATAAGGCCTTATTTGATCTTTTTTGATTAGTACATGGCCTTATTTGCCCCTTTTCCCTTATTTATAAGATGTTTATTTGTCGAAACTTCTTAACAAAATGGAAACTAATAATTCAATCTTTATAGATCTTCTTACAACAGTCTTTCATTTTCATTATTCAGAAATAATCTAACATTTGCACTCCGTCTTCATTCAATGGTCCCTGATCGGTTGATGACATGTTATTCCTATTTATTTTCTTATCTTTGCAAAATATTATGTGACAATAAGGTGAGATTTATAATATAATATACTCCCTCCGGTCCCAAATGAAATTCACACTTTCCTTTTTAGGTATGTTCAAAATAAACTTCACACTTCTCCTTTTCTTATTTGACAAATTATCTACATCAAAACAGTGCAAAACAGTGCAAAACAGTGTCACACATCGCCAAACAGCGTCACAACAGTGTAATCTACAGTAAAATCAAATGCATTGCTTAATTTGGGTAAAGTCAAAGTGTGAATTTCATTTGGGATCGAAGGGAGTATTACAAAGATAAGAAAATAACTTGAAATAGCAGGTCATCAATCGGTCAGGAACCCGCGAATGAAGATAGGGCGCAAATGTTAGATTATTCCTGAATAACGAAAAAATGGGACTATTGTAAAAAAACCGCTAAAAGTTTGAATTATTAGTTTCCATTTTCCCAAACTTCATTTGGTTGTTGCTTCTTCGTAGAAATGTTAATCGGGAACGTCACGTATAGACTAATTTTATACGTAGTACTCCCTCCGTCCCAAAATTATTGTCCCGCTTTCCTTTTCGGTCCGTCCCAAAATAATTGTCTCGTTTCTAAAACTTCCTTATTTGGTAAACAAATCTATAACAAACAGTGTCAAACAGTGCAAACCAGTGTCACTACAGTGCCAAACAATGTCGTTACAGTGTCATTTTCTTAATCTGTGTGAAAAACTAAACATGATACTAATTTTGGGACGGAGGGAGTAATATACTTTTACTACGTAAAATATTGACTGCACTATAAGAGCCCGTTTGATAACTTTGTTTTTTGGCTTGTCAGACTTATCAGCCAACTTTTTCACCGAACATTTAACTTTTGATTGCGCACTGAGTTGTGTAACAATAAGAAAAAGTACGGTTGAAGTTACTTTTCTGACCGTGGCTGTGTTTGGCGGGCATAAGTTCCTGCCTTCTAGCTTTTGTACTATTTAAAAAGTCTTTAAAAGCTTCTAGTTGTATGTTTGTCACGCCAACTTTTAAGAGCTTTTATAAAAATAAAAGATCTTTTTTGAGATGCTACAGTGAGTAGCATCTCAGATAAGTTTGTAGTTTCTAGTATTAATTAGTCATAACAGTTTGTATACCAAACAGAGCCAAATCAAACAGGTAGCTTTTTACCAAACAACTACTGTGTTTTCTTTTTAAGATCTTTTCAGTCACTAAAAACTAGCAGTTACTAAAAAGCTCATAAAAGTATCTTTTCAGCTAGTTGTGCCAAACATACCCTGTATTGGCTGAAATTACTATAGAAGACTATTTTAGCTATTTTTTCATATAATTTTTTCATTATTTTATCAATAAAATATATTTTAAATATAATTTTTTAATGAATCAGCAGAATCAATCAATCCAGCCGCTTCAATCAAAACTTCATAAATTTCAGCAGAATCATCTAATACAGCTGATTTTGGTCTACCAAACATGCTCTTAATTACATGTTCTACAAGTAGATTTGCAATTAAAAAAAGTAAATTGGTAATTATAGAACATGTTTGATTTTCACAAAAAAATTATAGAACTTGTTTGGATATAGTTGCGGAAAATAAATGTCCTTGCTTTTGAATTGTAAGAACATCAAATTCTACAGCATATTTAAAAGGATATACCAGGTACTTTTTAAATACAACTTTACAAGAAAAGGTCTCTAATCAATATTTGTCGACTCATACTAGAGATGACCTCGCACTCCTTCAAATTTTATATAGTGAATCTAGAGAAGCTTTTTATTAGGATTTAAGTTTTGTTTGTTATACAAACGGTCGAGAATCCGTTTGTTAACCGTAAAGTTGACTGAATTGGCTGATTCTACTGAAATTTATAAAGTTCTGACTGAAGTGTTGTATTGGCTGATTAATGAAAAAATTATAATTAAAATAAAAAATTATATGAAAAAATGGTTAAAATGATCTTCTACAGTAACTTCAGCCAATACAGCCAGAACAGTAACTTCAACCTTACTTTTTCTGCTTATTACATAATTCAACTCGCGAAATCAATGTTACGTGTTTGGTGAAAAAGCTATCTGATAAGTCTGATAAGTCAAAAAAATGGGTCACAAACGAGCTCCGAGACTAATTCATAATCAAAGTAACAAACTTTTATCAAATGTTACTTTCTGTAGCATCTCAAAAAAGATGTTTTATATTCAGAAAAGTTCTTATAAATTTTTATACAAAACATACAATTTAAAAGCTTTTAAAAACTTTTTAAATAGTATAAAAGCTACTAGTAGAATGTATGAATTTATGCCTACCAAACATGCACTCGGGATTACCCGATGAGTTGGCTACACACTCGCTCCCCATCGTATTGTTCATAACATATGTTTCATTTTCCTCAAAATGAAACCTATGTTAGATTTACTCTTCGGACATGACATTTTTAGAAAAGAAATTGTCTTAAGTAGTACTAAAACATGATCAAGGTTCCCAAATGAGTTAATGTTTTATATTCCTTAAAATGAACTCGTTGTTGCTTCACTTGTCTTGTTAAAATTGTCACATCTTTTCTTTTTGGTTCATCCCACTAAATTTGTCTCATACCATATTTGGTAAAATTTATGTGATCCTAAATAATTCTTACTTTATTTTTAGTGTATTCATTCAATATCAATCACATAAACTCACTTTTCTTAATAAATGCACTATCTTGTAATGTCACAATACTAGTGGGACTAAGGTATTACTACGTACCATTTTAAAGCTAGTTTAATTAATTTAATTAAAATCCTAAATCTCTGTCACAAAACCTCTCTATCATTGGTACTCTCTTGAGTCTCTTCAGCGTGCCTCTGTACCGGCTGACCGCACACGTATTTGCAACAACCAAGTAATCTCTTCCTCATCTTCCTACCTCTTTATCCTTCTTCCTTCTTTGGTTCTCCTTTTCCTCGATTTTTTTCTCCTCTTTCATTTCTTACTATTTTATCATCCCTTTTAAATATTTTTTTTTGAGTTTCGAAATAAACGTATTATTTTTATCTGAAAGTTTTAGCTTGGAATGGAAACCTTTGGATATGAAAATTTGAGGCTCCAACAATCATTTTTTGGATTTGAATTTTATTTTTATTTCATTTTATTAACTTGTAAAAATAATGCCACATTATGACACTTTTATGATGATGGCTCGGTTGATCGAAATTCATAGCAATCGTGTGGTAGTTATAGTTCATGTGTGTTGGGCTAGACCTCTAGTCGCACAAGTGAAAGTCTACCATCGTTGGGCTAGCTGAGTCACTATGATTTACAACTTCTCATGTGCTCGATCTGTGAGACGAGAGTTGGGCCCGGGGGCCTTGGAATTGAAGATTCAACCTTTTGGAAGAATGGAGATTGACAATAATATTACATCTTTGAAAATGTCATGTGTTTTTATATGTTTGACAAATTATGCCATTTTATGGCATTGACTTTATAGGCAATATTACTTCATTGTTTTTCCTTTTCTTCTCATATTTTACATATTGGATGTTGAAATCCCATTAATGTTGATATGATAATGACATAATTTTATATGGAAATGCCATAATTTTAAATCTAAAAATATCACGATTTAATATGAAAATGACACATTTTTGCATCTCAAAATGTCATGTTTTTGTCATTATTGTAATCATAAATGATGAAATCTTGCAAAAAATTGCAACATACTCTCAGGAGGAGGTAGTCGTGACTGCAAGATGTAGGCAACTCTTGCGTGTACCGCAACTACTCGAAATATCAATTGCATCGACATCAAGGTTGTCATTTCTGGAGTGTCTTTTCGCATTGACATGTCAACGTAAAAGAGAATACTCTTTTGTGTTGACATGCAAAAGAGTATAAGATGCAAAAAACTCTTCTCGGATGGGCGTATAGTAAAGTATTCACTTATAAAGTAATTGCATCGACTGAGGCTCTTTGCGTCGAAATTTTATTGTAGTGTCTCCAAATGCTAAATACTTGAATCTGAAAAGTTACTCCCTCCGTCCCATTTTAGTTAGTTAAACTTGACTTTTCAAGTCAATGATGTCTAATTTTGACCGATGATATATTTATATAGAGAAAATATTAATAGTATAAAAATGGTATGAAAATGTTCTTGGTTAAAAATACTATTATAAAAGTATAAAAATTTTAAATTTTGCATAATTTAATGTATTAGTTAAAATAATTGGTCAAAGTTTACCATCTTTGACCAAAAAAGTCAAAGATGTCTAACTAAAATGGACCGAGGTAGTATAATATATTTCGTATTAAAATGTTAAGACTTCATCTTATAAAATTAATGAAACAGGAGTTGGGAAACAATTCATGGCCTTACAGTCTTATATAGTAATTTAATATTTATAGTCTGTGAATGTGACAATCCATTTAACTTGTCTCATTCAAACATGATGACATCTCCAAAATATTTTTATGCATATCTACATCGATTGTCGACCCAAAACACATAAAGCAATTGGGACTCCTCATCTAAGTCAAGGGTAAAGAAAATCCGGGGCATTGAAGCAACGAACCCTTGAATTGCCATGACATCACCGCTCCCTAACCTAAGTTGTCTCACCTTATTAATATAACTCCTACAATCTTTTTCAATAAAATGAAGTTGATCATATACACCGGCTTGAACAACGGCTGAATTGAAGGTTTTATGAAGTCGTATTCCGGCCACATCGTTGATTTGAAGTTGCCTCCTTATTTGGGGAGTCAAAGTCCTATTGCACCGGAATAGGTGAGGCTTCGTTGGACTCATAGGATGGGTACGCTCAAGACAGGTTTTTTAAATTTCCCAAAGTCCCGCATAATTTGTGTGTGCTCGTATTCTTGCTCCGCACCCCATTTGCATTGAAGGTTGAGTCTTCAATTGATTTTTGACTTACTAGATCTACTACCGGGACACGAACACTCTAGTAACACTCCCACTATATGTACTCCATTTTTGTGTTTCATTGTACTCCCAATTCTTATAGGAAATTCTAAACGCTTCCCATACGTCTTGTAAAAATCATACACCGCTTCTTTGCTATCAAATTCCATACCAACATCCGGAGCTTTTATAGAACCAACTTCACTCTCATTTTGCTGAATTTCTTCATCTGACCAACATTCATGTACTCAAATGAATAAACAATGTGAGTATGTGAACATGCTATGGGGGGGGGGGGGGAGCACACACACAAGTACAACGATTTTATACACTTCACAGTTGTATATACACACAAAGACAATTGGAACATATACTCAGACATATTCAACATTTCACAAACATATAGGCACAATTTTATACACTTCACACAAACACTACACAAAATACAAACAACTGTCTGTGCGAAGAAACATATATTGACGTTCAAAACAACTGCAATCACATACATAAACGATTAAACATCAACAAAAAGTCATACCAAGCTCAGGGACGTCATCCATGGCCGCCGCCGTTTCTCCATCAACTTTGTCTCTCACCGAAATCTGTCCTTCACCTTGGGAAGCTCCGGTCATTTGATCCCATTCAGCCCAAAAGCCGTTGGCTGTAGTATCGCATATGGTTATGTCCAAAACGCCATCAAAATTCATTGATTTAGAAGAGAGGAGCTTGGCTTGGGCTCTGCGTTGAGCTCGTTACGGAAGAAAAAAAGAACGAGACGCGAAGAGTGAAGAGAGGAGAGGAGAACAAGGTTGTCTTCACACGTGGGGGAGGGGGGTAAAAATGGTACGAGTAATTTTTGAAGCTATTTATAGTGTCTATGTGTGTGCATCGATAGTGTTTAAAAAGGAGGCAAGAGTTAGATTGGTCATCGAAATTGCATAAAAAGGGTTAAATAAGTCCTTACTGTCCGGCCATCGCCATTTGGGGAGGTTCCCGGTGAATTTTTGTGATGAATTTTTTTGAACATCTTATTCATTAAGTCTAGTTTACTCATACCAAATTTCAGCTAAAATGTCAATCGGGAAGGCATTCAAATGAATTTCACCGGGAACCTCCCCAAAGGACTTATTTGACCCTTTTTGTGCAATTTCGAGTACCAATCTGACCCCCTCTGTTTACAAAGAGATATTTTGGTCTTATTAACCTTCCGGGGGCAGACCCTATATCTTACTCCCTCCGTCCCATATTTATCTCCGATTTTGACCGGGCACGAGTTTTAAGATAGTGGGATTTGTGTGGTGGAGGGTTATGCAGAGGAGAGAGAAATGTGTAAGAATGGTTGTGAACCACAAATTCTTTACCAAAAAGGGAAAAATGAGATAAATTTGGGACGGACCGAAAAAGAAAGAATGAAGATAATTCCGGGACGGAGGGAGTATTATTTTAATCTTTTACAGCCACGTAGCCTCATAGCTTTAATTAAGTACTTAACTAAGGGAGATGCTACGTATAATGAATGCCTAACTTCTGGCTTGATGTCTTTTAAGAGCTTAATAAGATAATATTAGGCAATGCATGCTTCACCACATTGAGTAGGGAAAATGTGGAGGGGTGAGACCGTTTATCCTAAAAATTATTGCCTCCCTCCAAGATTATGACAATAGAAAAGTAAAGTTATTAAGGAAAATATAATTGTATAGTTGATATATATTGTGTTGATAAAGTTAATGTGTGAATAAAGTAAGAATGAATTGTATTCAACTAAATATTTCATAGTACTCCCTCCGTCCCGGAATTATCTTCATTCTTTCCTTTTTGGTCCGTCCCAAATTTATCTCCTTTTTCCCTTTTTGGTAAAGAATATGTGGTTCACAACCATTCTTACACATTTCTCTCTCTTCTGCATAACTCTCCACCACACAAATCCCACTATCTTAAAATCCGTGCCCGGTCAAAACCGGAGTTAAATATGGGACGGAGGGAGTATCAAATATTCTCTCAATCCCATTTTGTAAGATATGTTTCCTATTCACTTGGTCAACACAAATAACTCTTAATCTCTTACTTTATACAGAGTATATCATTTTTTTGTCAAATATAGGTATATGGAAGTCGTAACTGCTATTAATAATAATGACTAATTAATTACAACATTAATATAAAATTAAATACATAAATAAACAAAACATTAATTGCTTGATCGTTACTCTTTCTGACTGGCAGACTTCCGACTGAGCAGGTAGACAGACTCCAGATTGTGAATTTGGATCCAAATTCAAAGCTTGAGCCCATTAGTTAGGCTTTATATATATATATATATATTGATGGATAGTGTACCCGGGGGGTAGCTTATCCGGGGGGTTATTGCGGGGAATAACAAGAGAGAAGTCAGAGCAAGTAAGTATAGAGAGAGAAAGTGTATTCAGAAAGTATGCAACGTTTATGACCTGTGACTTTTCTTACAAACGGGGAAAAGGGGTGCTATTTATAGTAGTAATAAATGCCGGACAGGGACACGTGTCAAGCGTCCATTGGCCGAGAGGTCACCTCATCTGGTTGGCGCTGGCAAACGCATGTGGCCGCATTTAATGCGGCTGTTGGATGGGACGTTTGTACAGGGCCCGGTGATCTGTACTTATGTGGTGTGGATATCATGTCGGGCAGGGTGCCCTCGGCTGTAGAGGACTAGCCGAGGGCTCTAAGTGCCGGGGACCCCCTGGGTGCCGAGGGCTACTGTTTTCTGCCGTTTTTTCCCAGTTTCTTAGTTTGCTTGAAAAACCCGTTCTGTGAGAGTTTTGAGCATTCGGCCAGGGGCCGAAGGCTCCCCAGTGCGCGCTGTGGGCTGCTGAGTGCTTGGGGGCGCCGTAATTTGGGCCTGCTGTGCTTCCTGGGCCGGTTGGGCCTTTATTGGTGTAGTAGGAGTCTGTGGGTCGGGGGTTCCCGGGCCATATACTCCATCAGGAGTCCCTCACTCCTTTTGCCGAAAGGTACTTGAGGGAAAAGGAGTAATTTGTGCTTGCCCTTTGTTGTTGTCCCGTTGTAATCTCTGAAGTTGGTGAGGAGTTGTTGCTTTCATGTCCCTGCCGAAGGCAGTCCCTCAGTTACCCACATGTCGGGACTTGAGGGATTGCTTTGCCGTTTGTTGGAATTTTCACCATTTTGTAATTTAATGATTTTCCCGAGGGGGTCCTCCAGTCCCCCACTCTTTGAGGCATTTGTAAAGTGGTGAAAAGGAGTGAATTAGTTGCGTTTCTGTTGCGGGCCGAAGGCTGACGCTTTTCGTTTCATTTTGGGGGGATGCCTCGTTAAAAACCTCATTAGGAAAAACCCTGTGGGAAAAAATCCTAATGAGGGAAAAAGAGTGCACCGAATTCCCCCAACGATGAATCGAAAATGTGAAACCTTGGTTCAAAATGGAGAATGATGGTAACGCCGAAGGCTCTCCTTGTTCTGAGGGCTCATGCGTTGATTAGCCGAAGGCTCGTTGTTGATGTCCTGGGAGGTGCCGAAGGGGAGCCCCTCAATCTGGGGATCGAGGGCGTGATGGATGAGGGCAGTAGTTGAATTGTTACCGGGGTGTCCCCTGCTCGTTGATTAGTTGGTGACGAGGATATCCGAGGGCTCCCATTACCTGTGTGCTGTAGGCTATCCGTCAATGAGGCAAACTCCCCGGGGGCTACCCGGCCCTCACAATGCTGAGGGGGGACCCCCGAGGGGTGGCCTGATATGAAGCCTTGGGCTTCTGAAGGAGTGATCCCGAAGGCGTCTGTTATGTACTGTGTGGGGCACAACCCGGGGGTGTCTCTGGGTAAGTGTACCCGGAGGCTTTCCCTGATGAAGCGGAGTGAAGCAAGAAACCCGGGGGCTCCCAAAATATAGCCGTTGGAAATATAGCCGTTGGAATATGTAACGTCAGGATATAGCCGTTGGGGGGGGTTGCCACGTGGTGCGTGCTCGTTGGCCGCCCATGGGCGGGCGTCACCGATTGGGCGATACCGCGGTCTGTAATGATGGCGATCCAACCGGAGGCCCGGTTTCTAGGCCCAAGCCCGGATCCCAGCGCCTATAAATACCCCAAGGCCAGGGCCATTCTCCGCTGTGCGATCTCAGTGTAGCAAAGCTCTGACAAAAATTTTCTAGAGAGAGAAACTTGCCCTCGGTTGAATCCTTAGTTCTCAAGGTCAGTTCCCCCTGCTCTTCTCCTTCTAGTTAGCTGTGCCTTGTGCCCTTAGGCTAGGAGATAGAATTTTCTAGAAAACCTTAGTTCTTCCAAGCCCTCGAGCTAGTGAGTAGATGTCTTCACAAAGCGACTCCCAGGATATCTCGGGGGAGCCTTCGGTCGAGATGGAGATGTGCTCAGATGTGGAGTCCTCGAGCGTGGAGTCCTCGGTGGGTGGTGATGCCGCAGTGGCCATGGAAGTGGAGAAGGACCTCCAGGCCGAAGTCGAAGCCGAAGGCTTCGAGCAAGAAAAGGAGGACGAAGAGCTCGCCCTCGCCGTGCAAACTGCCGAGCAAGAAGAGGAGAGGGAGAGGATGAAGGTGACGGTCACCATTCTACCCCTCGTGGTACCGGGGAAGCCAGCTCATCCCGGCCATTGGACCCGGCGCCCATCAGTGTGGCTCCCGGGAAGAAAAAGAAGATGAAGGCGGCCCCGAGGAAGAATCAAGCGGCCGTTGACGCCGGGCGGCCGGTAGGCATACCCGAGGGCCACTCGTTTCTGAACACTGCCGCTCTGGAGCTGAAGACGAGAGCGTCCCCGGCAGAATACCAGGCCACTCAGATGCTGGTTGGCCCTTCGGCGCGCGTGGTGGAGCCCAGGGCAGATGATCTACTGCGATATGCGCCCGAAGGGTGTTTTGCTGTTCACACTCTCTCGGTGGAGATGGGGCTTTGGTTTCCGCTTCATCCTTTTTTGCTGGAGTATTTGAGGTTTGTGGGGTTGGCCCCCTGCCAGCTAACGCCCAACAGCCACTCCTATGTGGCCGGCTTCCTCTCCTTGTGCCAAAGCCGGGGGTTGAGCCTACACTTGACCAATTCTTCATGTCCTTCAACCTCTGCCGGGGGGGCATTCAAATGCGGAGGGCTTCGCCAACCTTCAGCAGGTATCGGAGTTCAGGCTTTTTGACGATGTGCCCTCGTCCCACAAGGGGTGGAAGGAGAGATTCTGCTATATTCGGCTCGAGGAGAACCCCTTCCCGGCCCAGCTCCGCAATAGCTTCCGGCGCCACCCGAAGGTGGGGAGCGCAGCTCTGGAGAAGAATGGCAAAGTGCTTGCCAAAAAGCCGGAGGGGTCTGACAAGCACGTCAAGATTAGAGACGTCACCCTCCCCGAGGAATTGCTTAGCCTGGGCTTCCGACAGTTCAGGCCGAGGGGCTCTTCGGATGAAAGATACCCTCCCCTCGATCGAGTCTTCGAAGGAGCTGGAGGTGATTATCGAAGGGTTCATTTATGCCTTGATAGTTTTTTTTTATTTCCTATCTTTTATGACGTAGTAATTGATAGCCTTCGGTCTAACCCTCCTGTGTTTTTTTTTGCTTGCAGGTAATAACATGGACGTTGGTTTTCTCTTCGCTCTGAAGAATGCGAAAGGGAAGAAGAAGGCCCCGGCGGGCACTTCTGCCAGGGAGGGGCCCTCTCAACCTGTTGTTGTCGCTGCTGGCGCCGGAGGGTCCAGGGGTGCCGGGCCCGCGAAGAAGAAGAACGCCAGCAAGGGAACCGAGCCCCCGGCAAAGAAGCCGAAGACTGCCGCCCCTGCCAAACAGCCGACCACCGATGTGGTGGTGATCATTGATGAAGGGCACGCCTCTGCCCCCACCTCCCAGGAACACATCAACCAGGAGTTCTTCGGGCGGGAGAAGC